CCCCAAAACCCCAAAACCCCAAAACCCCAAAACCCCATTTATTTAATTCAAATTTGAACTAATATAATTTTCAAACAATGTCGGCGGATAATTTCCAATCAATATTGGCCATGGAGAGACTACAACAAATGTCAAGAGAACTTAGCCTTCAAGAAGAGACTAAAAACATGGATTACAAGAGAGAAACTATCAAAAAGAACCTTACTGAGATTTTTCAATGCTATATTTGTTATTCAAAAATTACAAAAGATGCAATGTTATGCCCGCATTGCTCAAAACTCTGCTGAAAGACCTGTATTCACAAATGGCTTATGGAGCGAAAATCTGAATGTCCACACTGTCGCCATAGCTTAACCACAAGACAGTTAGTTAACCTCAGATTTGCTTCTGATCTTTCAAATGCAATCGACTTCATCCCAGAACTCGGTAAGTATAGCAGCAAAAGGATATTTTTATTTTACTAGAAGCTTCCACTGTGCTTGGAACACTATACTCATCCTGCCTTATAGACTTAGACGATGACGAGAACTGCAAAGAGCATAAGTCAGAGCTTTCATACTTCTGAAAGGACTGCGGGACTCCAATCTGCTCAGACTGTGCAATTATCGGCGACAAACACAGAGGCCATGGCATTGAAAAGATCCAAAACATTTATGAGTCACATAAATAGCAAAATCAAGACAGAAAGAGACATTTTAAGCGATAAGCTAGAAGATATGTTCACTCAGGTCAGAAGCATCGAATGCCATATTGACTCAATTACTCAAGCTAAGGAGGAAAAATGTCGCAAAATAGTGGAGAAGATACACCAAACCCTTGATGAGCAGATGAAAGAAAGGATCCTCAACCTCCTCGGCAAAAAGGAAAAACTTACAATGGACATCTCTAAGATCGAGGAGTGCCAGAACAAGGTAAAATTTGAGGTAGACAGTTGCTCCAAATTGAAGCTTATTAATAAATCAGAGAAGGTTGTTGACCATATCAGAGGTGTTTCAAATCAGATTATTTCGCATCAATATAAACTCGATCCTGAACAACTTCTATTTAAGTCAGATCTTTGTCCAGAATACCTTAAAGGAGTATTTATCATTGTAAATTACCCTCAAATGATCGAGGAGAAGGAAATAATTTACTCTGAACCATTAGTTCACTACGGGATAACTTGGAGACTTAAGGTCTATCCTAATGGCAATGGCCAAGCTAAAGGAAATTATCTCTCAGTTTTTCTTGAAATGGTCAAGGGGAACTCATCCTCAGCAAAATATGATTACAAAATTGAGATGGAGAACCTCCAGAACCCCCTCATTAGCGTCTCTAGAGAATACACCTCTGAGTTCGAAGTTGGAGAATGCTGGGGATACAACAGATTCTACAGAACGGAATCAATCATAAACGAGGGTTTTATTGATGAAGAAAACTCACTCAAGCTTGAGTTTTTTGTCAGAGCAAGCTCTTACTCTCAGCATTGTGAGGACCAAGACAAATACATCAAAAGGTTAGAATCAAAAGTGGCTAAGCTCGAGCAGAAATGCGATGAAAATGATATTAACCTCTCAGATGAAGAAGAAAAAGAATCAGAAAAGGACGAAGCTACAGATGAAGAGTTAGATAAACTCCCCATGTCAGAATCCAAAAGGAAAGAAGACGAACTTTCTGATGATGACAATCTTGTCCTTGAAGAGAGGAAGAACGACCAAGATCAAGAAGAGGACTCCAAGTCTGACTCTGATGCTAAGTCTATTGATGATTCCCTTCAAGACAATGAAGAACAACGGAAGGTTGAAGAGGCAGTTAACGGAGATCTTGAACAAATAAAGAATGAAATTTCTAATAAGATGGAACAAAGGTAAACCCTTGTCTCATATTTAGAGTATCTATCGAAGAGATTCAGGAAAGAATGGAAGAGTACAAGCTCAACTTTGATGTCAGAAATATTATGAGTGACAGTCACTCAGAGCATCTAAAGAATTTGGAACTCGCTGAAGCGTACAGGAGCCCAAACCACTCTATAGAGGATGATATTGAGCATAAGGAGCTGAGTGAAGCTAATATCGAGCATATTACTAGTGAGTTAGCTCAAGCAGAAAGCCAAATCAAAAGAATTACCAGTGTCAATGATACTTTTAAGCACACATTTGAAGACGAGGAGCATAAATTTGAAGACTCTGATGATGACTTTAATGCTGATATTAGTGTTGATACTTCTGAAGGGAGTCTCTCTAGAGATGGTACTGAAGAACTCAAAAGCTCCTATGCAGAATATGACTATATGAACAACCACTTGGTTGAAGTTTCACCAGACTCCCCTATTGAACAAAAGGATAGGATAAACTATACTCAGCTTAACAGTCAAATAGCTTTCCCCAATATTGGGGAAGGATCTCAGGTAAGGAAATTTTTAGCATTCCCGATCTAAGTTGTATTATAGCCTGAAATTTCTCTTCAAGATGATGACTACACCAGTGACCAAATAGAATCATTAATAAGAAGAACTTCTGAAAGATTAAGAAAGAATAGAGAGTAAGGCTTCTAAGAAAATTTATATTTCAAAAATGTTAATTGTTATCGGGGTTTTGGGGTTTTGGGGTTTTGGGG